AGTCAGAGCTAGGCCCGTGTCTGGATCCAGCGTTGGCTCTGGGGTGTGGTGGCCCTCGATCTCCTGTCCAGCCCACGAAAGCCACCTCGGCGACCAGCCCGTCTCGCTTCCTTACCATTCCTGGGTGCTTGGGAGGGCACGTTCCATTTCCCGCAAGAACTCTCCCTCTGTGGTCACAGCTGGGCTGACTGGGTGCAGAGGCCCGCTGGCAGCCCTGTGGGCTTTCCACCTGCCTTCCCACTCAGCTTAATCATGTCCAGCTTTGGTTTAAAGTGAGTGACATGCGACGCTTCCCTTCGCTGGACCATGAGGGGCCATTGTGGGGTTATGAATTGGCCCAAGTTCAATGTTGTTGTGTCTCGGGGTAGGGAGGCCCAGGAGAGGGAGAGATGGGAAAGAACTGCTGGTAGAACCAGCAAGACTTATGGACTACATTCATCTTCTTATGTGGGTGAAGCTCATGGCACCCCAAAACAAGCGTGATAGTGCCACAAAGATCATTGATCCCTGACTACTATAACAGATATAGTAATAATGACAAAGTCTGAACTGTTGCGAGAATTGCCAGATGTGACGCAGAGGCATGAAGGGCGTGCTTGTGTTGGAGAGCCATGCCCGAGCGCCTACGCTTGTGAAAAGGAGCAGTGTCTGCAAAGCTCAGAGGAACGAGCTGTGCCTGCAGTAGTGGGGTTTAGGGAGTAGTTGTGGCGGTTGGCACAGTCTGAGTATTTTATGTTATAAATCCCCTTAATCCTGGGCCCTCTCTGGTGGCGCAAGGGGTTAAAGCGCAGCACTATGAAGCTGTCACCAGACACTGCAGTGCAAGTTTGATCCCCGGCCAAGGAACTGACCCACATGGTGTGGCAGACCCTTACTGACCTGCCTGCTGCTCCCCTCAGCAGTGTATTTCAATAGATCCACCTGTTCTGCTCTCCACTCTTGTCTCTGGTGAATCCTCTCACTCCCTGCACCTCTGGCCTGTACCCAGTTCTTGCATGCATAAATAAGTATATCTTTAATTAATAAACAAATAAATTTCTTTAATCCTCCCATCAATTCTAGGACCTATTTATTATTCCCAGTTTATAGGTGGGGAAATGGAGTCACAGAGCGATAATGGATATCTCCCAGTCAGTCAATGGCAGAACAAGATTTGCACCCAGTCTGCTTGGCCACAGAGCAGAAGTTCCTAACTATTGCACTAGAGCGCTTCATCTGTAATGAGCTCTTCCCCGCTGTGACCAGGCAGGCTCCTGGACTTAGAGCCCTTGGCCTTCCATGAGAGTCCTTTGCAGCCCCCGAAGGTAAACAAGTTAATGTTAGGTCTCTGTACAGTCTCTCTTAATCACCAGCCTTATCCCAGGCTGATACAGACCTTCAGGGAAAAAGGTTCCAACAGTTCAAATCTGGGAAATGAAGATTTCATATGAGGGAGAGTAACAATAATTACAATAGGAAGTATTTAGTGGAGAGGGGAGGAGCTCAGGCGGTGGAAAACTTGGAATTCCAACTAAAACATGTGCAGAGTGCATGGTGAGACGTGGTGTGGTGTCCCTGCTTTTGAGGAACCCCCAGGCCTGTGTGGAGGTAGCCAGGTCAACAGGCAAATTGCTGAACAATATTTGAGTGTATGGGCAGAGTAGTGGATAACTAACTTGACCCAGGAATTTCATACTAGAGTTGGGTCTTAAAGCACAAGTAGGAGTTTGCCAGCCAGGCAGAATCAGTAGTGGCAGAGTCAGAATTTAAAGCTGAACAAGCTGGCTCTGGAACCTGTGTTCTCACCATATTGCACGCTTGGTCTCTCTGCCCTTGAAGGCCTGGTCTTGGGAGATGTGATTCTTTGGAACCCAGGCCACTCATAGGGGCCCAGGACAATGGTGCAGCCATTTCCTGCCAGCCCTTGCATCTGCTCCTTGCAACCCCCACCACCTGCCTGTTTTAAATGCAGGGGTGCAGGCTGATAAGCCTGTGACAGGGTTTCTTCTTCCCTCACTACGTGGCCAGGACTCATGTCCCGAGACAACGCTTGGATTCCACCACCTGTGCACCTGTGGTGCGAGCAGGCATGAGAGACAAAGAAGCATTTCCTACTTTGTTTTTCAACTCTCCACCCCTCAGTCCCTGAAATGTGCTTTTGCATAAGTCACTTCCCCAGATCATCCCCACAACCCTCGTAGGTAGGGATTGTTTATCAATATTTTAAACCTGTGAAAAGCAGCTGAGAGACATCAAGCCATCCCCCCAAAGTACACAGCTCAGCAAGTAAGTAAAGGCCGGAATTTACACCTTGACTTGTCTAACTCAGGCTTTTAAGCCATCAGGAAGCAAAGCAGTTTATGGCAGGCCATTTGCCTTTCTGGTGACAGATGCTCTCGCCCAGATAACCTCTGGGCTTATCACTGGGGCGCCCAGGGACTGCAGGTTAGTGTCACACTGAAAGGTTATGTGATTGCAGCCCCTCAAACCCAGCAATGCAGATTTCATCGCCCCCTTCCCAGACATCTGATTCAGCCAGTTTGGCGTCAGGTGTAGGAACCTAGACTCCAGCAGACTCTCTGACTCTGATGCTGAAAGGCCACAGGTCACTGTAGAAACCCTGATTTATCACTTGTCTGTGCTGGGAAGATATACCACTTGCTAGCACTGTGCTACGTGTTTTATTTTGCTATTCCAGCCATCACAATGTTGCTTGATGGGGCAAATGTAGTTTTAAAAGAGATTTCGACTAGTCACAATGAGGATATTTGTGACCAGTGTGTATAAAGTGTTTATTAATCTTGCATTAATTGCATTAATTAATTGCATGATTATCTCTCTGAAGCTCAGACAGATTGGTTGACTGGGCCAAAGTCAAACCTCTCCTACTAACAACAGAGCTGGAATTAGAACTCACATCCCTCAGATGCTGTGTTCTCCCCAGAGCCCCGCACTGTTCTTTTTTGCCCACTCCTGTATATTCTTGCAGGCATGCAGCCCAGCTCTGCCAGCCAGGTAAACATAAGAAGGTAAATGTAGGAAGGGGAAGGTGGCCATGAGTGCCACTTTCTGGGCACTCACTGTGTACCGGCACCAGCTGCAGAAAGTGAGCTAGCAGGCAAAGTGCAGTACTCTCGTTAGAATACTGTTGGGGGCGGGTGTCAGAGGAGCCCACCCCCGTAAGAGCTGCAGGGTGAGCAGGTGCAGGGGAGGCTTCCCTCAGGAAGAAGCCCTGAGCACAGATCTGAAGCATGGATTAAATGCTAACCTGGTAAAAAGATGGAGAGAAGAGAATTCTAGGCCAGGCAAAACAGCATGTGCAAAGGCCCTGGAGTAGGCGACTGTATTCACAGAGTGTAACTGGAGCAGACAGTAAGGTCAGGAGTGCCCCAGGGTGAAGCTGAGGGTGGCTGGGGACTGGCCTCTGCAGTCACCAGGGGAAGGGGCTGCACTTCACCCCAACAGTAGCAGGCAGAGAGAGCACGTTACTAAGTGTTAGGCTTCCACTTAGGTTTATTTTCTTCTCCACCAAAGACCCCACTGAAGCCTGCCAAGGAAGAAAAGGCAGGGTGGCGGGTTCCACCTACCCCGGGAGGGGTGCCATCTGGAAGGTGACAGGTGCCAACTAGCCTCTCCCTGAGCTCACGCTGGGTGTTGAATGGACATGGACTTGGAAGAGGGGCAAGAATGGAAGTGGGAGATTCAGCCCAGTCCAGGGGTAGGGGTGAGGGAGAAGCAGACAGAAGCGGAGGGGTGGGATTGACAGGCTGGGTGACTGCTTTGAAGGTGATAACACAGAACCCAGAATGGCTGGGTGTGCTGCCCTGGGTCTGGGTCACACAACTTGGCAGTGCCGGAGCCCAGATGTTGTACCGGGAGCCCGGACCCAGCGCTTTCCCGTGAAGCTCAGACTCTGGGCCAGACGCCCAGCAGCTGCTTCTGCAGTGTCCTTCCCCCAGGCCAGCCTGGCTCCCTGGCTCCTCTCTGCAGGCCCGGCCTCCTGCAGGGCTCAGGGGAAGGGGGCTGCTTTATGGGCACAGATTCTGCTTTGAAGCACTTTGACCTCCAGATTCCTGCTCTGTGACCTCTGTGCCCCTGAGGCCCTCCCTGGGCTTTCAAGGAGTCCACAGAAGTGGGGGGTGCCCCAGAAGGTGGGGCTGGAACCACTGAGCAACCCCATACTGTCCCCTGCCTTCTTACATGAATTTATTTGGCCTCAGACACATCCCTAGGTGACATTTTACTGTGGCATGCACTTGCTTCCTTGTTTGATTTATTTAGTATTTTTACTGGAATGAAACATGCCATAAGCAGAAGACCTTTGTTCTGTTTCTTTGCCTGGCGCCTGGCACTTAGTACACAGTGGGGACTCCAGACTTATTCAAGGGGGCGCTCCAAGGAGACGCACCCCCTCATCCCAACCTCTAGAGCTGGCCGCCATTAAGAGTTCCTTGTCCTCCCCCTTTAGCCTTGTCTTGTGAATTAGACCTGGAGATAATCAGTTAAAGGAACATTTAGCCCTGCAGTCTCTCCTTGTCATTCCCGCCCCCCCGCGCCCCCCCTTCCTGGGGTCTGGATAGCCTGACTTTCAACATGAACCTCCTTCCCTGTATCTGAGCCCCACTTTCCTTTTGGGGTTCAGGCCCCTTCTTTATAATCACAATATTCTAGAGTCTTCTATCCCTAAGGAGCTTCTTGCTGAGAGTTGCTCTTGGACCTTGGGCCTGGGCCTGAATAGGACCCCCTGTTCTTCCAGGGACAGAGCCCCCCTTCCCAGCACACACACACCCCAGTCTCTCCGGTGTGTGTAGACCCCCAGGCACTGGGGACATTTCGTTGTTGCTCAGGAACCGTGCTCGCTCCCTTCTGCCACCCCTCCCTGCTCTTGCTTCGTGCCCCCCCTGAGCCTCCCCACCCTCCCCCGCATGGATATTTTTGCTCGGGGAGCCATGTGCTGGGTGGCAACCGAGTCTGGGAAGCAGCTCTTGCTGACTCAGAGCATTGGGTGGAAGAAGTGGGGCTGGAAAGGACCAGGGAGGCCAGACGCGCTGGCCCTTCCCCCAGCAGGCGCTCAGGTATGGAAACCAGGGCTGGGGGGGGCTGGGGGGGGAAGGCGCCACCAGCGAGTTCCCAGGGAAGCCAGGGTCTGAGCCCCTGGCAGAGAGCAGAAGGCAGCCCAGGACTCCCGCAGCCAGCCGTGCAGCTCCTCCCGATTTCCCACTGTGTCTGGCCTGTGTGTGCCGCACTGGAGGTGGACCTGTGATCCGGGCCCACGTGCCTCATTTCCTGCCTGCCTCGTCTGAAGAGAGGCTGCGAGCCATCACAGATGGGGAAGCTGAGGCATGCTGGGTGACGTGACCGAGGTCACATGGCTTAGCCAGTGTTCTCGTGACTTCAGAGGTGTTTTTTGCAGGCTGTTGAGGGCATCTGACTCTGGGGTTAAGACCTGGTGAACTTCTGGTCAGAGAAGGGGTCCACAGCCAAGACAGGAAGGTGCGAAGGAGGCAGTTGCTCTGGAAGCCCAGCTGGGGCTTGAGGGAGCCAGGGTGCCTGTTGAGGAGGGGTCCGGCCGCTGGAAGCAAGGTTGGAGCTGGAAGAGGAGCTGGTGCTGTGCTGGCCTCCTGGTGCAGTTACTTCTCTCCCTCAGGAGGGGCGTCCTCCAGGTGGGGCCCTGGCTTTGCCGGCTGCAGGTGCCCAGAGGCAGGTGTGTGCAGAGGGAGTCCCCGCAGGATCTGGCGGACAGCCAGCCAGCTCACCGCCCTGTATGCGCTTCATCTGGATTGGGGGCGTCTCCATGTGATTCGGGCCATCTGGATTGGGGGGCGTCTCCATGCGATTCAGGCCAGTGTATGGAGAGACTTCAGCACGCACATTGCCTTTTGTAACCATCTGTTGTACAACTTACTTTCAAGAACAAATGCTGCACAACTGTAAGTGAGGTTTCTGCTGGCAATCTCTAATCCCTCCACGGATGGGATTGCTTAAGAGGAAGTGGGTTTTCCTGCTGTCCTTAGGTGTCAGTGACTCAGCCATAAAGCTCGCTCAATAAAGTCCCCAGGGAGCTTTCTTCTCTGTCAGGGTGCTGGTGACACCCACAGCCACTCTCGGCTGGGTGAGGACAGCAGCACCCCTCTGGCCACCCATGCTCCTCGCTGGCCACCTGGACCCCAGGGCCCCCACGGGCCTCCTGAACAGGCCCGTGGGCTCTTCCAGCCTGACTCGCTCAACCCTGGCCCTCTTGGGGGAACATGAGTCATTTCTTCAACCCTGAAATGTTTTCTCTTGATGTGGGAAGAAGCAGGGGAGGGCAGAGGTGGGGAGAGACCCTGGTGTTTCCTTCCAGATTTGTTTCTCAGCTCTGAAGAGCAGCTCGCCACCAGGGAGAGATTCCAAGTCGACTGTTGTCTGAGGCAGTCAGACCCAGTGACGTCAATGAACCACAGATATGCAGAGAACCGGTCACCCAGGACTGTGCTGGGCTAGCCTGCAGGGTCCACCCCGAGCCAGCACTCGCCCCCCCCCTTCCTCTGCCCACACAGCGTCCTCAGGAGCCTGCTGCCCCACTCTCCCCCTACCTCCATCAAATCTGAGACATTGGGGAGGTGTGCAGGGGGCTGTTGCATGGAACCCCTAATTCCCTAGAGGTGCTTCCCCTCCCACGTCCTCTGCCTAATCTCCTTCTCCTGGGGTCTTCTTTTCAGCAGCCCCCAGGGACAGGGAACTTGTGCCCACCCATTGATTGACAGTGTCTCTTCAGAGGATTTGGAGGTCTGGCTTCATTGAGGGAAGGAGGAGGGATGGATTTGATCCATTAATGCTGTCTGCCAGGGCTGGGCAGGGTGGCCAGAGGCGCTGCTCCCACCTTCCCAGAGAGGAAAGGAAGGGTCCCCTGCCCCCTATCTCTTATTTTCCAGGTGACCTTAGCTTTATCTCTTTGAGACTCACTTTCCTTATCTGTAAAAACATGGCCAATAATTGCCACCCACAATTGAGAAACATAAAAGAAAACACCTGCAGCTGCATTTCCTTTTGGTCTTCATTCAGATGTCACCTGCTCAGAAAGGCCTTCTTGACCGTCCTGCTAAAAACGGCCCTCTCGTTTTCTGTCCACTGCTCCCTGCTTGATTTTTCTCCCTAGCACTTAGCACAACCGAACAAACTCCTGTTTCATTTGTTTATTTAATTTCTCTGTCTCCTCCCACTACCGTATAAGGATTTGGTCTGTTTAGTCCCTGGTTCATCCACCTGGAACAGTACTGGCACATAGCAGGCACAGAAATATTTGTTTTAAAACAATCTAAGTGCCCACTAATAATTGGATTAGGTAAAGGAAAGGTGATTTCCATGCCCAAGTAGAATTCAGTACAGCTCTCAGCAAAACGGAGTGAACTTGAGGGGATTATAAAAGCAGAGTAAGCCAGAAAGATAAAGACAAGTATTGGGTGATTTCACATGTGTGAGTTATATAAGGAAACAAAACAATAGAACTAACAAAGCAAAATAATTATAAACTAGCAGATATTGGTAAAAGAGCTGAGGTTTCTGAGGTTGGGGCATGTGGAGGCACAGAGAAAGGGTCAGAGGTATAAAGAAAAAAGAACCTTAGAATTACCTTTACAAAAAAACCTAAGTGAGGGCCCTCCCTGGTGGCACACAGGTTAAAGCACAGCACTGTGAAGCTATCGCAGCCACTGCAGCACAAACCCCGGCCAGGGAGCTGACCCATAGGGCGCAGCAGACCTCTCCTGACCCGCCCGCTGCTCCCCTCAGCAGTGTACTTTGTCGATCTGCCTGTTCTGCTCCCCACTCTGTCTCTGGGGAATCCTCTCACTCCCTGCACTTCTGGCCTGTACCCCAGTTCTGTATGGATAAATAAATCTTAGAAAAAACAATAAACAAACCAAAAAAAACTAAGTGACCTGGCCCAGTGTCTGAGGTGTGTGGATCCCCGGGGCTCCCCCCCAGGGGACACCTACCTGCTCCTCAGGCTTTGTTTTTGTCTTTGACCAGGTTACACCAGTGCATGAACTCACGCTGAGGAGTATCCTGGGGGACTTTTATAGTAGAGTGAAAAGAGGCTTTTGGGGAGGAATGCAGAACTGGAGGGGATTTTGAACATTATGAAAATGAGGCATCAGCACAGGTTTTTAGCAGAATCCTCAAACCTCTGTGGATACAGATCCACTCTCTGAGAACCTTAGGGGCAGTGTGAGGAACTAACTGATCCCAAACCTTGCAGCCCCAGGGCCTGCCCACCCTCCAAACAGTGAGGAAATTGAGGGTCAGAGAGTGTGTCATTCACCTGATATCACATAGGCAGTTAGTGGTATGGTCAGGATTGGAACTCACGCTTCTGTTTTAAAGAGAAGGCCCAGAGAAGGCAGGTAATTTGCCCAAGGTCACACAGTAAGTGAGCATCAGGGATGGGATTTGAATTCATAACTTACTGGTGCTTTTCCTGTTCCATTTGATGCTCAGAGGCCTGGGACCCTGGGGCAGGTGAAGAGGGGTGCTGGCACAGCCCCGAGTGACCCCTGGGCCTGCTCTTTACACTGGCCTGATGAGAGAGGCTGGCCATTCACCTGTCCTCTGGTGTTTCCATGACAGCTGTGCAACTGGGATCCTTTGGCTCTGCTGGGCCAAGATGCCCGCCTGCCTGTGAAGGGAAACACCTGCCAGGAGGCTAGAGGTGGGTGTTACTGACCTGCGCCCACTTCACAGAGAGCATGGCAATACTTGGTCAGCTCATTGTGAGACCCCCCGAGCCTCATTTGCCCTGCCTATAAAGTAGGATAGGATACCAACCTCAGGAAGGTCTCCTCTGTCCAGGTGACGCTGTGTGAGCCCTGGGGGTGGGAAGCAGCTGTCAAAGAGCCTGGGGAGAGGAGGGAGGCGAGACGGAGAGGCGGCCAGGGTCCCAGTTTAGGGAGCCAGACACAGCTGCCCCTTCCAAACAGTGTGGTTTCGGGGAAGCATCCTTCACTCTCTCAGCCTCACTTTCGCCTTCTAAAATGAGAATTCTTCTGCAGGATGGGATGGCTGGGGATGGCACAAGAGCTCTATGGTGTGTCGAGTTGGGTGCCCGGTGGATGTACAGCCTTTAGGTGTCGAGTGCCTGTGAAGGCACAGGTGCCCAGGGAAGGACAATCTGTGGTCAGCTTGCCAGCCCAGCCCCCAACAGAGCCCCTTCCTGGGCCTGGCACTACAGGATATGCACTTCCTGTAGGGAATTCATCCATGTCCTTTACTCAGACGCCTCAGGAAGGCAAGTCGCACTCTGTAAATGTCACCAGCCGACTGTCTGGCCTGCCCTGTAGGCCCTTATCAGTTTCTGGTTTGTGTTATGATGTTGGTGGCGTCTTATGTCCCCCAGGAGAAAAGAGCAAGTGCCAAGATGTTCCTTCCAGCCGGAGGACCAGGACTGAGTCACAGCTCTGCTACTGGTGGGGGACTTGGGATAGGTAGCTGCTTCTCGGAACCTGTTTCCTCCGCCATCAGGTGGGGGTGATACTACCTTCAGCACAGGTGGCCCCGAAGATACCTGAACCTGGTATGGGTTAGAGGATGTGTTGCGTGTCACGATAGAGCTGACCCCGGGCAAGGGGAGACCATCTCTGACCCTCAGGTTGCCAGCTGGGCACTGTCAGGGTGGCTGCACAGCTGAGCCCCAGGCACCCACTTATTTTTGGCCAAACCCATAAAACAGTAATTAAAAATATGTTCAGACCTTATTTCTCCAGCACCTTCCATGAACCAGGCACTGGGATCAATGCCTTTACACTATTGCCCCATTCTGTCACCACATGTCCTGTGGGACGGGCCCCACTGTTACCCCCATGCTGTAGAGGAGGGAACTGAGCCTCAGCCTGGTGCGCCCCTCTCGCTGGCCCGGTCCAGACATTGTGAACCGGGTCAGGATGTCTTGCTAGATATCAGCTGGATGCATCAAGCCCCAGACACAATTCTCAGGGAGAGTCAGTAAACAGAGGATCCTGAGTGGGGTGGAGGCCCCCATGAATGAAGACGTGCCTGGGAGGTAGATGGCCGTGGGAAGAAGCTCACGGAGCAGGCGGGT